AATCTGGAACGTAGGCGCGCATTTGACGCGGGAATTTCAAAACAGGGAGAGGGGCACTTTGCAAACCTATCTAGCTTTTTGTGTAAAGTGATAGAGCCTTGATTCTTACGCCATTCGAACCGCCTTGAGACGCACTACAAAAGTATACTTCGCTTTCTTCAAAACATGTTTCCTTTTAGGAGAAATTAGGAAAAGACTGAAAAAGCGCGAGTTTTTCGAAAAATCCTTCAGATGATGAGTCCATAACTCAGTGATATTTCCACCTAGAGAACTGCTATTATGGTTTTCCAGGTAAAACGCAATGTTGAATACGTCAGAATTGTTTTTGAGAGGTTTGGAGTTTTCCAAGTAGGTTTTGCAAAAAAACAGAACTCTGAGAAAACTTCAAGAGCCTTTTGTAATTCTTTTCCGTCCCAAGCACATCCTATCGGTCGAGCGTCAAATTCTGAGCAGACTGAGATGTCCTCGAGCCTGCTAGCTGGATAGGTTTGCGAAGTGCCCCTCTCCCTGTTTTGAAATTCCCGCGTCAAATGCGCGCCTACGTTCCAGATTTTGCAGAATTTCAAAAGACACTGGCCTAGAATCAGTTTTTCACGCTAATTTTGAATATCACATCGCTGACTTTCCAAAGTGCTCCGTAGCAGAGATATTGGAGTTTTTCTGGGAAGAGGTCAACATTTTGGAAAATCACACCATCCCAATTTTTTTAATTTTTCTTCAGGAACACGCGCATTCAGAACTTTTAACTATGATATTCGTGATCAGCGTAAAATTCTGCGTCGAATAGGCTATATATAAGCAAAAAGCAAGGACCTTCTTGATCTTTGAATTACGGGCGCCTTATGCTAGCACCTTTTGCACTTACCAAACAGATTTTCATGTCCATCACTATTTCCATTACACCCTATGATAAGGAGAGAAACAAAGATGTTTTAATAAGTGTAAATATCCTCTCTATTGTTTAATTCATTGATCGGTTTCTGAGTCTTAACGCTATGTGACAAATCGACATCTATATAAATAACACGGATTATTTTTAGAAGTTATGCTAAAGTTGAAGGTTTACGTGTTACGCATTCTGGTTCCCATATACATCGATCAATAACTCTTAAATAACTAATAAAAGAAAGTAGTAGAGAGCTACATTTTTGTATTGGAAAACCAAGAGAACAGTAACAACATCAAAGGTCTGTTCTCCAAATCAAAACTTCCACAACACATTTTCCATCCCAGAAAAATGGTTCAATTTCCTCAAGACCCAGGGACCTTTTCTGGTCAACAAACGAAAACACTTTTTGCCGAGAGCGGAGGTTGAATGTTTTGCAGACAGTTATCATGTTTCCAAACATTCTTCAAAAAAGTGGCTATTTCTGTCAAATTTCAAATCGCCATCAGATTTTCAGTCGAACATTCACACTGAGAATTTTAAAAGCCCCTGTGTTTAAAATATCTCAGCGAAAATGGCGTCTGTACTATTTATTTATCCACCTTTACCACGCTAACTACTTTTAGGTACTTTGCTCCTTTGGTGCTTTGGTGTGTACACGTACGAGCACCAAAGCACCAGAACATCAAATCACGAAAAAGAAACAGACAGGGGTGTGTGGAGGGTAGATAAGATGGCTGTGAGTATCTGTACAGCAGGTCATACCAGTGTCATATTCCGGCCTTGTCTTTAGACCTACGCTAGCTAACATACCTACCCTAATGTTATGGTTTTTAAGCTTATTTCTAAATTCGCTGCGAACTAGAATTTTCCATGTCCTCGGTGGCTGTCGTTTTTCATTCGACAGTTTCACAAAAAAGAATAATTTTGATTTGCGTTACTATGCTTTTCTATTGAGCTTTTGACTTGTATTCGATTTTGTTGAACAAAATATGATATCGTTTGATCATGCTTTGTTTAACAGACAAAAAAGTCATAGCAAAAACGCAGTTTCTGAACAAAACTTGATTTTTCTCAAAACAATAGCATTTTGTGCTTTATCGCTTTGAATTGAACAATTGAAAACTAAAATTCATTTACCTTGGAGTATATTCGTTTGAGGGAGGTTTCTTACGACCACATGATGTTTCTGATCATCATGATTTTCGACATTTCCACACGATTCCATGAAATCTTCAAAGTCTTCTAGAATCATATCAGGGAATTCGGCTAGAAATTTCATTGCAAACAGTTCAAATGGCAAGGTTTCGAAGTAGAAAAATACTCACGAATTGACACTTGACAAGAGACATTTCTGTCTATGATTCGCAGCCCTGACCTCAGCCAATCGGGATCATTGTTATCATATGTGAACCATAAGTGTTGCTTGAATACCGGTAATAACTCTTTGGACAAATTGACATATTTGCGATACTTTGTATGATAAAACTGTATGGTAAAATTTAAGGGCAAAATCCCGTGATCATACACCTCCACTATCGCTCGTTCAACATCATTAATGGTAATATTGTTGATATCTTCACTGAGATCAATCGGACACGCATGAGCGCCATAAGAGACTAATGGACTTGGCATCGGTTTCCCGCAGAGAATAAGAAGCAACGAAGAGTGTGTAAAATCTTCTCGATTTTCGTAGTCTGTTAAATTTCAACCGTCTATATCTTCGCACACATAAGCATAAACATAAAACAATAACCCAAGTAAACTTTAGTTTAAACAATATATTCTAGGTAAAACCCAAGTTAATGGTAGGTAAAATCCAAGTTAAAATGTATTAGAGGTCAATAAACATAAAGCACGAAAGTAATTGAATTATACAGGTGAGTTAAAAGTGTGGAAAAGAGAAAAAAAGAAATGGAAAAAGCACGAGAAAAAAAGGAGTGACCTTTTTGTGTACTTAATATATGACGACCCTCACAAGTAAAAAGCGCATTTTCAACGACGTTTGTTTTCAGTGATCGTTTAACAATGTGAGTAATTCTACTCTTATAATCATATCGCCATTTTAATTATTTTGCTACACAGTGTTCACGCCAAGGAACCAGGGCTGGGCAACTCCAACTTCGAAGTTGACGATGTTTTCGGTGGAGTTAGAGCTGAGTTTTTGAATTTTTATTCTCAACCCCGTTTTGCATTTTTCGAAATATTCAATAGTTGTAAACTGATCTTCTAAACGATTGAGTGGCTGTATTCACGAGTGAATTCGGAAGTTCTTTGCGCTTTCCTACCGGAAAAAGCTCAAAAACGTCCAGAATCCTGCTAAAAACCGAAAAAGCTTCCTTACAAAAGTGAAGCAGTCGGAGTTGAACTGGAGTTGAGATTTCTGTTGAGAGAGTTGAAGTTGGAGTTGAAAAATTTTGAGCGGAGTTGGAGTTGGAAATTTGAAAACGGAGTTGATTTGGAGTGGAGTTGGAGTTGAAAGTCAGCGGAGTTGCCCCAGCCCTGCAAGGAACTTACAGCAGAACTCTGTCTTTTAATTTAATCTGTCTATCACAAGCAGGCATATGACAAATTGGGAATCCCCTTTCCAGTTTGAGGCTAAAGCAGGTCGTAAACTCAAATTAAAATTACGTCTGATACCGCAGGACCAGAAAAATGTATATAGGTAAAGCAGAATTTGTTTTCCAAATGCGCATTATGTGCAACATGAAAAGTAACGTCTAGCACAGAAAGCGTTATTTTGTTCCCAGAGAATATCATGGAACTGTATAATATGCTAAATTAGAATGAATTCGAACCAAACAGTTCGTAATGTGTTCGACTGGATAGTCTTTTTTACCTCTCAAAGCTTACGAGGGAACCTTCTCAGGTGAAACCCTTCTTTCCCAATGCAACCGACATGGATCAATGGCCTACATACTGCTAGTAAAAAGCCTAAGAGGTTTTATTCAGAAAGCTCTTCCTTCGAATATTCGAGGCATTTTTCTGGAAAATCAGTTTTCAGAAACTCTAAAAAGATAACCAAAACCTTTCTCAATGAACCATGCTTCTAGCCCGCACATTTCTGATTAAAATGAGATATCTTCTGATTTAAATGAGATTCTCTTTCTACATGACCTTTCTTTGCAAAGTTATAGAATTCACAAGAAGAGCCTAAATATTCACTGTCAACTCAAAGCTACAGAAATAAGAAGAAATTAATTTAGGGCTTTTCTTGTAAATTCTATAACTTTGCAAAGAAAGGTCATGTAGAGCTGAAAGATGTCTCATTTTAATCAGAAATGTGCGGGCTAGAAGCATGGCTCATTGAGAAAGGTTTTGGTTATCTTTTTAGAGTTTCTGAAAACAGATTTTCCAGAAAAATGGCTCGAATTTTCGAAGAAAGAGCTTTCTCAATAAAACTTCTTAGGCTTTTTACTAGCAATATGTAGACCATCGATCCATGTGGGTTGTAGTAGGAGAGGAGGGTTACACCTGAGAAGGTTCCCTCATTAGCTTTGCCCCGATGAGTTGACATGGTACTTTCATCATGCAGTATAAACTTCTGACGTAATTCAAAGACTAATTACGATATTCAGATGTCCATCTCTGTACTGAAAGCGCGCTCAAACGATATTTCAATCACACAAGACATAGATGGAAGAAAACATCTTAAGGTTGTTAGATAAAGCTGACCTAGTCTACAGTACTTTAGGATAATGCCCAAACAGTGTAGTCTTGAAAGAAAGAGGTGCTCATAGTCACAGTCAGGCAAGAGCCTGTTAAAACGCTTACTAAAACTTTTATGGCCACATTTTACCATGAGCAAGGATTTTTCTCTCATTCCTTTTTCTATACAGGCTAATTTTTACGTAGTATCCTCCCAACTCCGCAGAGATCCTGGCTCTAACCTCTTCAACGCAGTTTGGGCAGATAACAACGGTTTGACTCCATTATGTCAAGAGCCTTCGGAGATGGATAATATTGTATGAATGAGCTTCATCAAGAGTATTCATCAAACCACAGCATATCTGAGATTGGGTTGACTGAAACTTGTGGTGCACAGCTTTTGGACATGCGCGAACGCTTGTGCGCAATGACATCTAAGTACCGCCGCTATCATAATGAATACTCAAAAACGATAACAATAGATTGTTTATAGGGACTCCACTTTGGAAGCATGGTACCAACTTAGTTTAACTTTTTCTAAAGGAATTCATTCCATGCATTACTCCGAAATCCACGGGAACTTACATCACCATGCTTTTTTCTGAAAAACGCACTTTCGTCATATGTGACGAAAGTACATCTCCTGCCCCCCTATGACGAAAGTGCCATTTACTAAAAAATTCAGCTTACAT